CCCGTACGTACGGACGTACGGCCGTACAGACGGGCCGTATTGGTACGGGTGTATACACAGACCGAAACTGATTTTTTTAACGTCTTTCACGTTCACCTTGCAGTCCTTAGAGATTGATTGTTTGAGCTATGCTTTTTGTCAATCTATTGAAAACGATTATAGTCCTATAATATGTTTTGTTATTGGAAAGGGTTTTCTTGCACATTTTGAGAATCACTAGACTTTTTGCCCATTTGTTTGCCTCCTTTCTCTGGAAATAATTAAAAACACTCTCTTTAATGTGTCAAAAATAAGATTTGATTTTTACTTTTTCATTCTATAAAAAATGTTAGGTTTTGTGGTTTTGTTAGGTTTTCACGAATTCAGTGTTGGTTTCCTTGTACATGGCTTGGGTTGCCTCCAGCCCCGCACCGTTCTCGCCATTAATCTCATCAGGACCGCCCAAACGCCTCGGCACCTTCCTCGCCTTGTCGTCAGGGATGCGGTCGCATTCCTCGGTCCATTTCTCGTCAGTGAGGCCGTTTTTGCTGTACCTCTCCAAGATGGTCGTATAACCGATGAAGAAGTCAGCGGTCCACTCTTCCTTTGACCTCCCCTCGACCGTGAACAATATGTAGTTGAACATACTGACCATATATCTTTCACGCCGAGTATATTTTACCAGGTCCGCCATGTTGCATCTACCACGAGGTACCGTACGTGATGTCACGATGACATCACCAAGCATCATGTGGCGAAGCACCACTTGCTTCTCTCTCGCTGTTATATCGTCAAACAACTTGAAGATTGAGGGCGTCAAGTCCGGTATAGACAGCGTTGCGCCTTGCGACCCCTTTTTGGCCTTGATGCAGTGGTACATGACTTTTCTGCCGGAGTGGTCCTTGAGGAAGTATTGCCCAGGCAACCTCCCTTCCACTTTCCCCGGCAGATCGATGTATCTCACACCGTCGATTCTTGGCAATAACCCTTTCTCGTACATGTCAAAGAATTTCTCTACTAGTGGCCATACCATCTCGCCGCACTGCGCAAGATTCATGTATCCGCGCATCTTGTTCGTCCAGTCCTTGCAGTAGTCGTTCTCCAGGGACGAGTTCATGAGGCCGGAATCAGGTGTCATTTTGCAGGCGCCGTTCATGAACGTTTCCCACTTCTTTTTCCGTTTCATTCCCTCAACGTCATTCGGGGACACGGTGCCTAGAGGACGGATCCGGTCATTCCTCTTATCCCAAAATGTTTTGATTTGCCGCACGGATGACGAAAACGATCTGGGGATGGAACGCTCCTCCCTCGTGTTGTCGAACATCGAGACCTACGGATATCCTCTCTTTGTGTCGTCGACTCGTCGTCAAAGTAGACAACACGTACGTGACGTACGTGAGAGTATGACCTCAAGCCGTACACTTTCTCGGCCGGTGACTTGTCCTTAATAAGTCTGTTCATTGCCTCAACAGTGTGCTGGCCAACAACAACATACCAGTGGTATGTATGAGCCAGTGCGACATCGAATTGCTTCGGTGCGATCCGTCTGCCTTGAGAGCCGCCCCGGTTGGGCACAATGGGAGCCAGGATGAAAGTCTCTCTCTCTCTCTCTCTCTCTCTCTCTCTCTCTCTCTCCGTCCCACCGAGTTTGAATGAATCTTCCTCTTATAGAGGAACTCGGTGGAAAGGGGGGGGGAGGAGAGAGAGAGAGAGAGAGAGAGAGAGAGAGAGAGAG